TGTTGAAACTTTCAATGGTGTTTTTTATTGCAGCTATATCACTCTTCATTTCTTCTTGGTTCTTACATAAGTTATTGATTTTTTCATCCATTTCTTTTTGATTCTTACATAAGTTGTTGATTTTTTCCATCTGTTTCTTCTTGATTCTTGTATAAGTTGTTGATTTTTTCCTCTATCCGGTTTATGCACTCTAGGACCCTTAATCTGAATTCTTTTTCTGACATGTTGCATGCCTCTGTTTCACTTAGCTGCTTTTCTGGCGAGTCCTCCTCTTCTTTCCTTTGGGGGTTTCTTTGTCTACCCATGTTTGATCTCACCGACAGATCTAGATGTTGAGTCATTCAGGGGCTGCTCCTTGGGTGGCTGTGGCTCCTCGGGCTGCGGTTGCTCCTTGGGCGGTTGTAGTAGCAGTTGCTCCTCTGTGGGCAGCAGCTCCTCTGGTGGGTGCTGTTCACAGCCGTGGTGGCTCCTCTGGCTGGTGGGGGGAGGCTTTTCACACAGCTGCTGTTCCTCAGACAGAGGTTGTGCTGATCACGAGGCTGCTGTTCCTTGGATGGGGGCGGGCTACACACGCAGCTGCTACTCCTTGAACTGGAGCGGACTGCTCACGTGGCTGCTGTTCCTTGAATGGGGGCTAGCGGCACGCTGCTGTTGTTCCTCTGATGTGGTGGGCTGCTTGTGGGGCTACTGCTCCTTGGACTTGGACAGGTTGATTGCAAGTCTGCTGCTCCTCGGATGGGGGTGGGCTGCTTGCACGGCTGCTGCTCTTTGGACGGGAGTGTCCAGGCTGCTCTTGAGCAGACGCTCGTGGCGAGGAACCTAGCACAGCTTTGCCTTCCTGTCGCCCAGGTTTCCTGCTCAAGCTCCCATCTGAGAGCTATTTAGGCCACCAGGTTCCATCCAATGTGAAAGCCTGGATCCAGAATTGCAGAACAAGCTCCTATTTTGAGACATGGCACCTAATTAGTTACCTTGCTCTTTATATGAGGCTGGAAAACGCTCTGCGTATTGTTTGCTAGCCAGGGCCGGCCTGACCTCGTGGTCTGAGAGTGGAAGTAGTCCTATGGGATTATTCACAGTCCCGTGTCCCTTGGGACTTTTGCCCCCTGGTGGGTGGGCTCTGCCTGAGCAGAGCTGCAGGCCTGTCTCAGGTGGATAGTGTGGCCTGCCTCACCTCACCCCTGCTTTCCCATTCAGAAAGTGAATGGCGTCCCGGAGAGCCCCACGGGCACAGGGAAGACCCTATGCCTGCTCTGCAGCACGCTGGCCTGGCGGGAGCACCTCCGTGATGCCATCTCCGCCCGCAAGATTGCTGAGAGGACCCAAGGGGATCTCTTCCTCGATCGCCCCTTGTCTTCCTGGGGGAATGCTGCTTCAGAGGGAGACGCCACAGGTCAGCCCCTGGTCTGACCTCCCGCACAGATGCAGGGACGGAAGGAAGGGGGGAAGGGACAGAATGGACATGTGAGGCCCTTGAGTGCAGTGAGCAGGCAGTGTTGTAGCTGCCACGTCACCTCTCGCCATCCTGGCTGCAAACTAGGGTCAGAGCCTTACAGCTGTATTAGGATATTGCAGATGCCCACTTCACCCATTCCTGGTATGATACTAGGTATCTGATGTTTAGCTGTCTGAAGTGCTGAGCTGGCTGAGTGCCCCTGGGTTAACAGCACATGAGAACGCTGTCTCATGGAGCCACGCTCTGTTCTGCTTCCTTGTGCCTGGGCAGCTTGCTACGCAGACATCCCAAAGATCATTTATGCCTCCAGGACCCACTCGCAACTCACACAGGTCATCGGCGAGCTTCGGAACACGTCCTACCGGTGGGTCAGGCAGCGTTCACCCTGCCGCAGAATTGGGGGGGGGAATGGCCTCAACGCGGTGGTCAACAGTGTTGTGCCCCGACCGAGCCTGAGGGCATGCTGTGCTCTGTGCATACTTGGGCGGTCTCCGATGCCCACTGCTTGTGAGAAAGCAGCTCTGACTACATGTTGACCTTGGTCTACCCCCTGAGCTCCTTGCAGGCGCTACAGTGTTAGCTGTGGTGTGGCCATCGCAGCTGCACCTGTGAGGGAAGGAGGCTCTGCCCAGGTCCAGCAGCAGAGCTGCAGGAATCTTGTTGCCCCACTTGCCTCCCTGTGAGCGAGCACGTGGGTGCTGTCGAGTCTCCTCCCTTCTGCCAGTCCCAGTCTGGGCTTCTGGCTTCTTGCTCACCCCGGCCCCTTGGAGAAAGCCCCTCCCAAGCCTGGTATATTCTGGCCATGGCCACTCCCTCTGGCTGCCTACGTGAACCAGGTTTCCTGGTGCTCCCCATATGTGCCCACACAGCTCAGGCTGTTGGGCGGCACTCTGGGCTATTGCCCTGTCATTCTTGGGCCCCACGATTCTCTCTTCCCAGGCCCAGGGTGTGTGTGCTGGGCTCCCGGGAGCAGCTGTGTATCCACCCCGAGGTGAAGAAGCAGGAGAGTAACCACATGCAGGTGGGCTCCTGGGCCGCCCGCTTGTCCTCTTTGGTTGTGTGAGGTGGTGCTGCTGCTCTCAGAGCCCTCGCTGTGCCCTAGGGTGGGGGATAGAGGGTGAAGAGCTGCCTGGGTAGAGCTGGCTGGAACAGGGCTCCCACCATCGGCAGCGGACTCATTGGCCAGCCCAGTGCTCTGCCCTTTCTTGGCCATCACGCAAGCTGGGACCACATGTCCTTTCCCTCCCAGATCCACCTGTGCCGCAAGAAGGTGGCGAGTCGCTCCTGTCATTTCTACAACAACGTAGAAGGTAAGAGGGGCCGGGGGCTGCTCCTGCCGATTGTCAGCACACAGCAGCGGGGAGGAGAGCACGTGCAGCCTTAGGGCTGGGCTCAGGGCCTCACGGCCTGATGTATCTTGCCCCTTGGGACTCAGCTTGGTGAGGCAGGTGCCCGGCATTTGCTCCTAACTGGGGACTTCTGCTGGGTCGCATGCAGATGAACCACATGTGGGCCTGAGGCTGCCATCTCAGAAAGGCGTGCTGGCAAGGCTGGTCCCCCGTGTCCCCACCACCCCTGACAGGAGGGGCTCCCTGAGTGTAAACTGTTGGCAAACAATGTGGGTTTTGCTGAGTATCCACTTCCCTCTGGGAGTCTGGCGCTGGGTGACCCCAGGAAAAAGCCTGGTGGGTTTCCCGGGCGCGGCATTCCGCAGTCTGCCGCAGCTCGTTCTTGGGGAGATGGCGGGGAGGGTTCTGGAAACTGTGTCTGGGCTCCCGGACCCCTGCGCGTACTTCCCCTTTGGGGAGTGTGCAGTGTGCCCTTTCCCTGCGATGTGTCACAGCGTGGGGTGGCCTCTCGAGTCCCAGCAATTCCTCCAGCCCGTGTGCTGTGAGGTGAATGCTTCCTGCAGAGACGAGTGCAGCGATGAGCCCAGGGCTGGTGGCAGCAGCCCACCTTGGCGCGGCTTAATGTGTGTGACGCAGGTGCCCGTGGCCTGGGAAGCCCGTCTCCTGTTGCTGACTTTGCTGCCCAGAGTGCAGGGGTTGGCACTAGTACCCTCGCCTCCACATCTGTTTCTCCACTGGGGCTGCCCCTCCTGTCTGTCAGGCTTCTTCCAGAGGCGGTGGCAGGACAGCCTCCGGAGTGGCCTCCAGTTTCCTGTCTGTGGTCAGGGCTCTGTGGTGTGGGGGGCGGGGGAAGGTCGAGGTTCCCTCTGTTTCCTGCCTCAGGGTTGAAATTCAGACCCTAACGCAGAGGTGACATGGGCTCAGAGCACTCTCCAGGCATTAGCGGCTGCCGTCTGTCCGGGTGTGGAGTGCCCAGTGTGTGGGCCTTGCCGGAAGAGGGTCAGGACGGCACTGCTCCCAGAGGCCTGTGCCGGAGGCCCCCACTCCCCCAGCCGGTGTCCTGTGCCCTGCCTCTTGGAGAGACGGGTGGAGTGTGTGCCCAATGTGGGCATGGGCTCAGGCCCTCCTCGGGCGTCTCCTGCAGAGCTTGGCCTGAAACGTGGACCCAAGCTCCTGGAACTCGCTCCTCACCTGATTTTGTTTGCTAGTTTGGGGTCTGGTGGCAATGAGGACACTGGGGAAGGCAGTGAAGGGGCGTGGCCCAGCCGGAGCGCAGCCTGCCCTGCTGCCTGCGTCTGCTCGGGTCCGTGGGTATTGTTGCACGAGAGGCATTCTTTCCCCTTTGTTTGGTGCACCCTCTGCTCACAGCCCGCCCACCTCAGTCCAGCCTTGCGTGGGCCCTGGCACTGTACCCATGAAGGTTGATGGAGTTGTCCCCCAGGGCTGCCTCCCTGTCCACATCGTCCCTGGTAAAGGAGGCGGGGTGCAGGTGCCATGTGCCAGAGCCTTGAGCAGCACTGGGTGGGGACCACTCCAGCCACCTTTCCCGGCTGCTGTGGGTCAGCTCACCCTCTCTGCTGGCCTAGCCTTCACCTGCTGGGTCCCTCACCTGCACTGCCCCCCATCTCCCTGGAGGGTCCCTGAGCAGGGAGGGGAGGAGGTCAGGAGGGGTGGGAGCTGAGGGGAACTTTCTGCCCACGGCAGAGGCAGTGCCAGCTCAGTGTGTGCTGGCCCGTGGGCTGCGGCCCCATCCCCACTGCCCCAGGTCCTGCGTGGCAGGCAAGGGAGGCCGCCCCAGCTGGCCTGCTGGCTCTGGGCTTCATGTCTCCTCCCTGGTCCCCAGCCCACCTGCTCTGCCTGGCTCTTGCCGCCTGTGCTGTTGGGTCTACTCACCATAAACGTGAGCGTCCTTGCTGTGGCTCAGCCTCCCCTGCCCCTGCCCATGGGATGTGAGGGTGTCTCCAGCAGCTGCACAGCCCTTGGAAGGGAGAGAGAAGTGGGGAGAGGCCAGGGGGGCCTGGGAGGAGGGGAGGCTTGTGTGGGAGGAAGGAGAGATGCAGAGCTGGAACCTGCCCAGCCTGCATTGGGGTGAGGGGCACATGTAGCGTCTCCTCACCAGTCAGCCTGGGGTGCCCTCCTTGCTGCCCCCTCATCAGGTCGCTGAGCTGGTGGCTGGCCTGCCACCCAGCACTGCGGATTGCTGGTCGGTTGCTATGGCGCTGTGGAGTGGATGGCTCTTCCTCCTCCCCCTCGCCTGCTATTCCTGGGGGCACTTTGGAGTTGTGTCACTGATGAAGGCCCAGTGTGTTCTGGCCTCTGCACTTTAGGGCTGGCCTGATTCCTGCCACAGGAGGGCCGTGAGCCAGGGGTTGTTTCCACATATGGCTGTCCCGAGACTCTGGGTGTTTGTCACAGACCTCTGGTCCTGCCAGCCAGGGCCCTGGCCTCCCTGGGTTAGAGTCGTTCCCAGCAGATTCCTGTGCCCCAAGTTGGGAGGCTGGGGTGCAGAGCAGGGCTCCCTCGGGGTCACTTCAGGTTCAGAACCCTCCCTGGGAGCCCTGAGACCCATCGGTCAAGGATTCTCTCCAGTGAGACTCCAGGTGGCTGGGCACCCCAGTCCTGCCCTGAGGGATCATCTTGGGGTGACCACACCTTCTGCCCGCTTCATAGGAGCTATTCCATCCTGAGGTCAGGGGACTCAGAGGACCAAAGGGTGTGTGCTTACTCCTGTCTGTGTCCCCAGAAAAGAGCCTGGAGCAGGACCTGGCCACCTCCATCCTGGACATCGAGGACCTGGTCAAGAGTGGGAACAGGCACAAGTAAGTCCCTCCCTTCAGGTCGCATTTGCATAGCCTTCCAGGCTGGGACCTCCCGCCGCCTGCACACACACACATTTCTTTTCTTTCCTGTTTCATCTTTTAATCATGAAACTTAACAGTTGTTCAGTATAAAAACCATGAATGATTCTGAGGAATAGAGAGAGAAATGGAACTGCCCTCCTTCCCTGCACTCAGCCTGCTCACTAGTGACTGCTGGGGAGCGGACCGCCCGCTGTGCTCCTGTGGTCTGGATTTGGGGGGCCAAGGGGCGTGGTGCTGACCCTCCTGCCTTGGGCTCAGCCCTCCACTGGATGCTTACCCGCTGCTTCTGTGATGGTCGCTGGAAACTTCTGAGCATCAGGGCTCCATGCTGTGATGAGACAGGACTGTTTGTTTCTGAGTCCCTCACCGGTCCACTCAGAACAGGGTTGGGGTTTTCTTGTTTTTGTAAGTTTGTAAATAGGTGATCCACTCCCAGAGTTGAACACATGTTCCACTTCCCCCACCCCCGTGGCCATCAGAGGATGCAGCATCCAGCCCAGCCTCAGACTGCGGCCCAGGGTTGCTGATGCATGTCCTGAACCCCCAGCCGTGTGAGGCTCATGTCCTCCCCCTGTGCCCAGGCTGTGCCCATACTACCTGTCCCGGAATCTGAAGCAGCAGGCTGACATCATCTTCATGCCCTACAACTACTTGTTGGATGCCAAGGTAAGGCCTCAGCCACATAGGATGATGATTCCTGACCCCGGGTGTCCCTGGGCTTGTGAGGGGCTGTCTAGCCTCTGCTGGTTCAGCTTCTGGGGCTAGAGACTCGCTCAGACCAGCAGATGTGTGGGAGGACCTGGTGTCCCACACTGGTCAGGGTTCACTGTGACCAGCTCCGAGCAGCTGGCTGGGCAGCAAGGAGACCGCAGGGCTGCAGCTGGACCGTCCCTGCCCTCGTCTGGCAGTCAGCTTTAGCCCTGGACTGGGGTGTCACCGTGTTTGGCCTATGGGGTGCTATGCCCTCCTGTTTTAATGCAGGGGCATTGCATCACGCTCCCCTGTGTCCAGCGGCTCGTGCTCCATGTCATGGAAGCACCGTGGATGTGCCCTGTGCTTCAGCATCGACTGGGCCCCAGGGATCATGCTGACAGCGCCCTGTGCCAGACACAGGTCTCGGTGCGGGGAGGCAGCCAGCAGGAAAGCCAGCCTGTGGGCTCTGACTTCCCGCAGAGTCTGCACGGGAGCTGGTGGTGCACGAGGGCCATGGCCTCAGGAACAGCAGCCCCGAACCGCTGCTGAAGCGGGTGCTGGAGAGGGTGCAGGGGAGGAGCAGGAGCCCCGCGAGGCCGGACTCTGGCACAGAGAGTGGTGGTTTGCCGAGGATTGTGCGTGATTCTCCCAAGTCTTGCTTTTAACCCGGAGACTGGGCCTGGGCACCCAAAGGCAGTGATATCTCAGCTGACCTCCTGGACGTAATGATCTCAGAGCAGGGCAGTTCTGACAAAGAGGCCGGTGGAGCTCCCACTCCTGACTCCTGGACTCACTGCAGACACGTGCACATCGATTCCAGGACAGACCCATAGAGACTGGCCGAGATATCTCTGTGGGAAAGGAAAGGGAAGGGTTGTTTGTTTGTTTCTCCCCCAAAATGGTACTGGAGTAGCTGGATGTCTGTTTGGAAGAGTGGGTCTCCCCCAGGACCTAACTACCTCCCGTGGCATGAAGCTGAGCCTCCTGGAGACCTGGGCTCACTGCAGTGGTCGGGAGCTTTCTCCACCTGGACAACCAGGGCACCACCCCACAGGACAGAATTGATCAATGGGACTTCACCACAATTTAAAGCCTTGAGTCTTTGAAAGAGTTAGGAAAATTAAGAAAGTTCAAAGGCAGGTCACAGAAAGGGAGAAAGTACTCCTGGTACATTTGTCTTTCAAAGGGCTGTGCCCAAAATATGTGTAGCCCTTGTCACCAGAAGAAGAGATAAATGAAACAGAGATAAGAAATTTATCTGAAACAGAGTTCAGAGTAATGATGGTAAAAATGCTCAACGGTATGAAAAAAAATATAGAAACTGAAAAAAGAACAGTCTGAGATAAAAAATGACATAACACAAATAAAGAACACATTGGAAGGAATACACAGCAGATTAGGGGAAGCTGAGGATTGAATCAGTGAATTAGAAGACAGAGTTGAAAAAATCATAGAACCAAAAAGAAAAAACAAAACAAGAGGACACCTCAAGGGAGCGGTGGGACAACATAAAACGTAACAATCTTCAAATAGCTGGTGTGCCAGAAGCGTCAGAAAGGTAGAAAGGGATAGAGAATGTGTTTGAAAAATAATGGCAGAAAACTTCCCTAATCTGGTAAAGGAAAAAGTCACACAAGTTCAGGAGGCACAGACAACCCCAAGCAAGAATACCCCAAACAGGCCCACACCCAGACACATCATAATTAAAATGCCAAAAATTAAAGACAAAGAGAGAATCTTAAAGGCAGCAAGAGAAAAGCAAATTTACAAAGGAGCTCCCATAAGGCTGACACCTGATTTCTCATCAGAAATTCTACAGGCCAGAAGGTAATGGCACGAATTACTCAAGGTAATGGAAACCAAGGATCTGAGACCAAGATTACCACATTCAGATGGCTATCATTCAAAACAGACAGCTTCCCAGACAATAAAAGGCTAAAGGAGTACATCACCACCAAGCCAGCATTACAAGAAATGCTAAAGGGACTGCTGTAATGAGAAGAAGAAATAGAGACACCTAGGCATACAGAATTAAAATGGTAATAAATAAGTACCTATCAATAATAACCTTAAATGTAAATGGGTTAAATATTCCAGTCAATAGACGTAGGTAGATCACAATACCAGATATCAAGCTGTATTACCAAGTCATGGTTCTCAAAACTGCCTGGTACTGGCACAAGAATAGACATATAGACCAATGGAACAGAACAGAGAACCCAGAATTGACCCAAGCCATTATGCTCAATTAATATTTGACAAAGGAGGCAAGAGCATATAATGGAGTTAAGACTCTCTAATAAATGGTGCTGGGAAATTTGGTCAGATACATGCAAAAAAATGAAACTAGATCACCAACTTACACCATACACAAAAACAAACTCAAAATGGCTAAAGGACTTACTAGGAAATGTAAGACAGGAAACCATAAAAATCCTACAAGACTCCATAGGCAGCAAATAGCAAACATGTCATAGCAATATCTTTACCCACACAGCTCCTCTCCTGGGCAATGGACACTGAGGAGAAAATGAACAAATGGAACCACATCAAAATAAAAACCTTATGCACAGCAAAGGAAACCATCAACAGAACAACAAGAAAGCCCACTGCATGGGAGAACATATTTGCCAATGCTATTTCAGATAAGGGTTTAATCTCCAAAATTTACAGAGAACTCATGCAACTTAACAAAAGGAAGATAAACAATCCAATCAAAAAATGAGCAAAGGATCTAAGTAGACACTTTATGAAAGAGGACATACAGAAGGCCGAGAGACATATGAAAACATGTTCAAAGTTGCTGATCATCCGAGAGATACAAATCAAAACAACAATGAGGTACCATCTCACACCTGTTAGAATGGTTATCATCAACAAATCAACAAACGACAAGTGCTGGAGAGGATGTAGAGAAAAAGGAACCCTCTTGCACTGCTGGTGGGAATGCAGACTGGTGCAGCCACTATGGAAGACAGTATGGAGTTTCCTCAAAAAACTGGAAATGGAACTCCCATTTGACCCTGTGATCCCACTTCTAGGAATATATCCCAAGAAACCAAAAACACCAATCAGAAAGGATATATGCACCCATATGTTCATAGCAGCACAATTCACCATAGCTAAGATCTGGAAACAGCCTAAGTGCCCATCAGTAGATGAATGGATTAGAAAACTGTGGTACATCTACACGATGGAATACTATGCTGCTGTAAAAAAGAAGGAACTCTTACAATTTGCAACGGCATGGATGGAGCTGGAGAGCATTATGCTAAGTGAAACAAGCCAGTCAATGAAGGAAAAATACCACATGATCTCACTCATTCATGGATAATAAAGACCATTACAAACTTTTGAACAATAATAGATACAGAGGCAGAGCTGCCTCAAACTGATTGTCAAACTGCAGTGGGAAGGCCAGAGAGGGTTGGGGGGCAGAAGGGAGGGGAGTAAGAGATCAACCGAAGGACTTGTATGCATCCATATAAGCATAACCAATGGA